AGGGCCTGAAACCCCGGCCTCACGCCGGGAAGACCTGGTGAGGACCATGCCTCTGCTCCCGGATCCCTGGCAGCCGCCGCCGGATTCCCTGCGCCCGCGCTCCGGAAGTGCGTCAGAGATGAGCCCAGCAGGGGTTTCCCGAGCAGATCTCGCAGCCCGTGAGAATCTCGGGCCTGGCTTTGCCACGCCCACCCCGGCCCGGGTGGTGGAGGTGGAGGCAGCGCTCCAGTTCCCGGATGTCGGGCTGGCTTCCGCGTGGTGGGAGGCGAGACCGACGTCGACCCCAGATTGTCAAGGGCCTCTGTCCTCGGCTTTTGCAAACCGAAAAAAACAAAACAGCAAGACCCCACAACGCTCCATTTATCCCTTTCTATTCAGCCCCCATAATTTGGCATAACAGAGAAAAGGCTTTCGACAACTTATGGAGCTTGATCCCATCTCCTGGCCTTCAGGTCCCTTAAAGGTGAGCTGTATTTAGTCATTACAACGAAAACAATGTGGCAAAAAGGGCCCATTTCCCTTTCTAGCTGACGTTTAACGAAGGCTGGCTTGCCTCTTGCTTTCTCCTTCATGAGCTGCCTTTGGCAAGTCCCAAGTGTCAAGGAACCAGGAGGCTTCTGACCTGGAGGCCTTGGGATGGACCCCGGTGTGGAACCCAGCCCTATCATGAGGCTTGGAGTCAGAGCCTGGACTCTGTCCCTGAGCTTTTTCGCTCGAGGCCAGTGCTCTACCACTTTGAGCCACAGCTCCGCTTCCTGTTGTAAAACTATATAACTCATTTGTCCATTCACCTGTTGATAAGTGAATTGTCCCCAAGTACGATGAGTAAAGCTGCTACAAACGTTCACGATTCTTGCATCTATTCTCTTGAAAACAAATCTTTGGGAATGGAATTGTTGAGTTAGATGGCTAATTGTACATATTTTGCTTTGTAAGAAATGCAAGTGTATTTTTTTCATAGTGATTGTACATTTACATTCCCACCAGCATTATGAGAGGTTTTTGTTTTTTTTGGTCGGTCATGGGGCTTGAACTCTGGGTCTCGGTGCTGTCCCTGCACTCTTCAGCTCAGGGCAAGCACTCTACCACGAGCCACAGCACCACTTCCGGTTTTCTAGTGGTTTATTTGAGATTAAGTTTCTCTGGCAGTCCGGGCTGGCTTTGAACCTTGATCCTCAGCCTCCTGAAAAGTTAGGATTACAGGCGTGAGCCACCGGCGCCCAATGAGTTCTGCTTTTTGAACATCCTCACCTATGTTTGGTATTGTTGGTTGTTGTTAGAACTCTGTTTTAGTGATTTAATTTGCATCTCCCCCTGATGACTAATGATATCGAATACCTTTTAGTGTTCTTATGATCTATTCCAATGTCTTTGAAGAAGAGGCTGCTTTAATTTCTTGTCTATTTTTATTGGGTAATCTTAAGTTGTAAAATGTCTACATATTTTGGATATAAGAGCTTACCAGATATAATTTACAAAAATGTCTACCATTTTGGGGGTTGTCTTCTTACTGTTAGTATATTTTGAAGCTCAATTTAAAAAATCATGTGCAGTTTTCTTAAATCTAAGTATGTATTCTAAGGATGTGTGTGTGTGTGTGCATGTGTTGGTCCTAGGGCCTGAACTTAGGACCTAGGCATCCCCTGAGTTTTTTTTTTTGGTCCAGTCGTGGGGCCTGAACTCTTGGCCTGGGCGCTGCCCCTCAGCTCTTCAGCTCAAGGCTAGCACTCTACCACTTGAGCCACAGCGCCACTTCCGGCTTTTTTTCTTTTTTGCTTATGTGGTGCTGAGGAATCGAATCCAGGGCCTCATGCATGTAAGGCAAGAGCTCTACCACTGAGCCACCTTCCCAGCCCCTCCCCTGAGTTTTTGTATTTTAAGGCTGGCACTCTAGCTACAGATCCATTTTCAGCTTTTTGGTAGTTAGAGATAAGCCATACAATCTTTCTGCCTGGGTGGCTTCAAACCACCATCCTCAAATCTCAGTCTCCTAAGTAGCTAAGCTTATAGGCTGGAGCTGTAGGTGTGTGGCTATATTGCAAGTATATATAAATTTGTGACTTGCATTTCCATTTTTTTTGTCTTTCAAAGAATATATTTTGTGCTTAAGACAATTTGTTCACCACTATCTGTTTTGTGTCGTTACAAAACTTTGCAGCCAGCAAATAAAGCACTGGCCTACCAAGCTCAAGGCCATGAGTTCAATTCTTAGTACTACTAAGAAAAAGAAAAAAAAGACTCAAAGACTGGTAAGCAAAGAAAAGTCCCACAGCTTCACCACACTAAGTGATCCATTGCAAGAAAAATTGGCAGCCAGTTCATTTTTCATGCTTTGCTGTAGTTCCATACACATCAAAATCAGTGGAAATTTTAAATTAAGGGAAAAAAAGGAACCAGAGAGGTAGAGAGACAGGGGGAAAGGATGAATGAACAGGTTACTTATAGTAAGGGAAATCCAGATTTTCAAGAATGTAAGTGCTGGATGTCAGCATTGCCAAGGTGCTGAGGAAAGATATTCTGCAGCTTAGAATTCTATAATGTTAATGTTACTGCCCATGTTAGCAAAATACCTCAGATAAACAACTAAAGGGAACAAAAGATTTATTTTGGCTTATAATTTTATAGAGGTTGCAGTCTATAACTGATTGGTGTAACTTTAGGCCTGAGCTAAGGCAGAGAATCAAGGCAAGAGAAAGAGCCGAATCAAAGTAAGTAATGCTTATGGTAAAACATGAATCTTAATATAAGGGATCAAAAGGCACACCAAAATCATGTGTGGCACACAATTCAGGCAGTGCTGAGACACATTTTGACATTGAAGTAGAACTAAACATGGCCATGTCCTGATATACATGTAGGGGATAGGGCATGTTTTAGTCTCATAAAATGTGGCTTTTCCAACCTTGTTCACTCTTAACAGAAGCCATTGCTTTCTGCTAAGAACAAGCTTTTGAAGAGTGTTCTCACTGAATTTTAAGTCTGCATATAAATTGCTTCATCATTCAATGAAAGAGTATTTGCAAACCAGACAAGGGCCTCTGCTTATAATGTATAACAAACCTTGTGCTTTGGCTCTACCCTAAGGCTAATTCCTTAAGGAAAACCTTTATCCTTAGCCTGCCCCATTTCCTTTCACATACCCTAGTCCTCTTCCCCACTGTCACCAACAGATACAGCTTTGTATTGCTATTTTTCATGCACCCAGCAAATACTCTAGTTGCTCTTCAGAGACAGGCATTGTCTTTCATTTCTGTCCATCAGTAGCATCTTGAAAGTACCTAAGCTCATAGGTGGCATGTGGTAAATCTCTGAGTAAATTTTTTTTTTTATGGTCCCGGGGTTTTGAACTCAGGGCCTTGGCCCTGTTCCTGAGCCTCTTTGTGCTCAAGGCTAGTACTCTATCACTTGAGTCATAGAGCTACTTCCAGCTTTCTCTGAGTAGTTTATTGGAGATTTGTCTCATAGACTTTTCTGCCTGGGATGGCTTTAAACCACGATCCTCAGATCTCAGCCTCCTGAGTAGCTAGGATTCCAGGCGTGAGCCACTGATGCCCTGCAGAATGAACGTTATGGCTTATTTGTAACCCGGTAATTTTCAAGTCATACTAAGGTTAAGTTCAAATAGTTCACAAACAATGTAATGCTCTAGGATGCTAGCAACTACTGAAATAACTCAATTTAAAAACATACAACTCACGTTTTATTTTAGTTCAGTTCATAATAGGAAAAAGTAAAAATAGTAGATATTTAAATAATAATTTTGCCATTAATCTTTTAGTACACTGCTACGGACACATAAGATGATCTAATTTAAAACACTTTCCCTTCTGAATGTATCTCTACTTCTGAAAACTGTGAAAGTATTAATAAAAGTCATGTTACATATTTTAAAAAATAAAATCTACATATCTCATCACCATTTTTATGGGGAAAAGACAGGTATAATAAGATGTGGTACATAAGTTAATGATGAAAAAAAGGTTTAGAAGCCTAAGTTGGCGTATTGAGTATGAAAACAATGACACAAATGATTTAAGCTCTCATTAAAACAGTTTCATATTTCTCTAAAGGTACATTTGGCAGAAAGAGGAATTGTCAGCCAATATAATATACAATGAATATATCAGTTGTTTACATTTCCAACGACCACAAACACCAAGTGGAAAACCTAGGAAGAAAATCTTACAGAGACATAATTAAATGAGCCTTAGACCTTCAGTCACTGAAGATTAAGATCTACTTAGCTCTGGTGTAAAAAAAGTCAGAACCATTCATACAAAACAGTTGGTTCTTCTGGTGAGTATGATTTCTTCCATGGGAATTCAAGGTAGTTTCATTGTAAAACAAATTCCAAGTCACAGTACATTGTGTTAAAGTAAGGCTCTAGTGTATTTTGGAAGTGTAATAAGCTATAGCTTATTTACTGGGAAAAATTAAATATATATATATATATATTCTTTTTGCCTCAGGTCATTGCATTCATATCATCCCAGTAAACGTATCTGTGATGTACACTATTGATAACTTAGCTTTCAGTTTTAAGCAATTATCTGTACTATTACCCACTCTTCATTTTATGGCTTTTAAATATTGTCCTTAAATATCTGAAAAGTAATGACCATATTCTGAAAGTTCATGAAAAGAGTTCTATGAACATCAGCCTGAAAAATTGTAAGGCCTTTAAAGTGTCATTAAGTAAGGTTATAGAGAGTAAAACAGGAATGAAAAAGCTAATTTGAAAATTCTATACATGGGGTTAGGGATTTAGCTCAGTGGAAGAGCACTTGCCTGGCAAGTGCAAGGCCCTGAATTTGGTCCTCAGCTCTGAAAAAATAAAGATAAAGAAAATTCTATATATGATCCCCTTCACAAAAATGAATTTATGATGTTTCTTTTTCAAAAGTGGAAGAGGGAGGTCACAAAAACTCCTGCTGACATTTGGATACACTAGTAATATAAGGGTTTCCTGCCCAATTTTCAAAATAATTCTTCAAAATATACAGCTTTTAAGGCCTAGATTTTAAAAGATAATAAATGTGATATTAAAGTTCCCCATCAAAATAGCACAGCCAGTTCATCGCACAGATCTTAAAATAAAATGGGCATGTGAAGACTTATATGAAAAAATTGTACATTTCCAAATTATATTTAATAATACTGCACACAATTTATAGAAAGACTAGAAGGCTTTAAGTAGCGCAAAGTCTAAACAAGTTTTAGCAGGTAAATCAGTTTTCACATTATAATTCTAATGTTTAAATTATCTAACCAGTAAGTCACAAAAGCTTTCTTAGGCAAGGGTTCTACTGTATTTTGAATATGGAACCACAGTTCTTTTCCCTAAGATGAAAAAAATTGAACAAAAATAATTTTATTTGGCCTAGGTTTTAAAATATTGGTACAAGAGGTTTAAAAAATGTTTAAATTGCTTCAGTCATAGATAAACATTTATAAGCAAAGAAGACCCTTAGTATATATCAAAAGTATTTATTTGTAATTTTCTATTTTTTAAACTAGTGAGAAATTAACTGAATTACTGAGTTTTAGCTCTAAAGTTTTGATTACATTGTTCTGTTTTAAAGTAGTTAAGAGTAAGGTGGATGTAGTTTAGTGCTAGAGTATGTGCTTAGCATATACAAGGATCTGGATTCAGTTCCCAGCACAAAAACGAAATAAAGTTTAAGACGACATCTCAAACAAAGTTGTTTCAATAGACAATGTTGGCCCTGAATTATATCAAAGATTTTTTTCCCTCTCATCTTTGTCTGGTTTTAGTCCCTTCAGGTCAGTTACTAATGGGGAACAAATATGTCATGTTTTACAACTTAATCTGTGGCCCCTGTGTCCTTCTCTTCAGAGCCCAAAGTGCTATGCACATGGCACGTGCAATTGACTCAGGTATCCCTGAATGAATAGCGATATACCAAGGATTGATTAAGAAATGTAGAAAATCTGTAGACAATAAGAACTACATTTGTAAAACACTTAAATGATAATTTTGAAATTTCTAATCCCTTTTCTAGACTTACTTTGGTGTGTCTCTAACTAATAGGAAGAGAAATACAAGAATACATGGTTATAGCATTGTAACTAAACTGCAAGGAAGGACACATAAAAAATTTTTGTTTCATTCATGTATTGAAGAATGAATTTTATTTACCTCACTAGTAGATCCCAGCTGCTCCAGTTATTCTGAGAAAAAATTATTTTATCAATAACAGGAAAAATATCTTCCAATATTTGTTTAACAATTGTAATTAAATTGCTTAGTTATACTACAGAGTAGAAGCAATTAATGAATTTTGGAAATAAAAATATGTATGTACATTACCCTGATACTAAGCCAAAATATATCTAACAACCAATCTTCTTGATTTCTGTTACTCATAAAAATAAAGGAAAATATATTGTAAGTATTTTCTATATAGATTTCAATTAGAAAATAATAGCTTAATGAAAATAATAGTTCATGTGAGTGGACTGATAAGGAGGCACGAGAAGTATTCAAAACTTGACAGACAACATACTGCCAAAAAAAAGATTGAAGAATATTTGCCTCAATGACACTTTTTATAGGCAACAGCTAGATTTTTATACATTTCAATTTTATCTTATATTCAAGAAAAATACAGATCTGCAAATTAAGATGACCCAAGCTGTAGTTAAGAACCCCTTCTTTTGGCTTGCAAAATGTAGCCTTTTGATTTGATAATCCCTCTACTTTTCACAATGACGGAGTATCTCAGCAGCCACAGTGGCACCCATTCCTGTGCCTGGATGTCAGGAATGCTCTCCTGAAGAGCTTCTTGGAAAGTTGCTTCAGAAAGCAGCTCTAAAACAACAATGAACAAAACCCCAAATTAAGTTTGAAAACAAATGCACTTTTTTTTTTTTTTTGTTGGTGGGGCTTGAATTCAGGGCCATCTGGGTGGTGTCCCTGAGCTCTTTTGCTCAGGGCTAGTGCTTTATCACTTTGAACTACAGAACCATTTCTCATTTTTCAGTAGTAAGAGTCTCAAGAGGACTTTTCTGTCTGGGCTGGCTTCAAAACGTGATCCTCAGATCTTGGCCTCCTTAGTAGCTAGGGTTACAGGCGTGACCCACTGGCCTAGTCAGAAGCACTTTTTATGTAGGTAAGCATTTAAACACAAGAAAAGAAGCACTCCAGAAGTGAACACACACACACACAACTTATTTTTTTGTCAGTCATGGGTCCTGGACTCTGGGCCTGGGTGCTGTCCCTCAGCTCTTCAGCTCAAGGCTAGCACTCTACCACTTAAGCCACAGCACCACTTGTGGCCTTTTCTGTTTATGTGGTGCGGGGGAATCGAATCCAGGGCCTCATGCATGTGAGGCAAGCACTCTTAACACTGAGTCACCTTCCCAGCCCCAGAACTAAATATAAAATAGAATATTGTTTACCTCAGTGTCTAGTGCTATTACCTATCCTATTTAATGGTAACTTCTGGTGAAGTAGAACCTGGACATTTGTGTTTTTTGAAGATCTCCAGGGAGTTCTAATGGACAACAAGGGAAAATACAGGAAGTAAAAAGAGGAAAAATACTCATAACCTTACTAGTTGAAGACAATACATCATTTCCGTTACCAAGTATTTTCTTACAACTTTTTTTCTGGGTGTGTGGGCCTCTCTAAATATATATAGTAGTGTTATTTAAAATAATTTATAAAATATTTAATAATGGGAAAATATAGTATGTGTGGAAAATAAATACATTAGGTTTTATAGAATGAGTTGACTCCCTCTGACCTTCATGTATCTGAAAATCTTACATTCCCACCGCGGGGGCTCTGACAGGTATCCTCTCTTCCCTGCATACTCTTCTGCCTGGTATTCATGTGGTGTATTCTTTTCTTGAAATCTCTGGTTAATGGTAAAGGCTTCCCTTACCATCCTATCTAAAACTATCACCCCTAAGAATGCACTCTTTTCCTTCTTTTGCCAACTTTGCCCACAGCATTTACCATTTACCATTTTTCCTACTTATTTTATTATCTATGTCCTCCTATTAGTATATACATTCTTTGATGACTGGAGTTTTCTGATTTTGGTAATGTATGTCTAGTACCCAAAATAATGCTAGGTACTTGGCTGGTGCTCAAATGTCTGTTGAATCAATCAATCAAGATGGAAAAATTCCATGAGGGTCAGGACAACCATACAATAGGTATGATTTCAGATGCTAAAGCCCCACCTACCTCCAAGTAAACTGTTATGATACTAGAACCAGTATCATATTAATAGTAGATGCTCAGTAAATTTTAGGTATTTTTAAAAAATGTGGTACTGCGTTTTGAACTTAGATCAGTCTACTGCTTGGGCTATGCCCCACCTCTCAGCCTTATTTTGTGCCAGACTTTTTTTTTTTTTTTGCCAGTCCTAGGGTTTGAACTCAGCCTGGACACTGTCCCTGAGCTTCTTTTGCTCAAGGCTAGCACTCTACCACTTGAGCCATGGTGACACTTTGGGCTTTTCTGTTTATGTGGTATTGAGGAATTGAACCCAGGACTTCATGCATGCTAGGCAAGCACTCTACCACTAAGCCACATTCCCAGCCCTTGCCAGACATTTTTCTAGGTAAGTACTATATATGAATTCATTTAGCCCACATGTTAGCTCAATGTGTTAGCCACTATTGTGCCCCTACGTTTATAGGGAAAACAGTGAGAAGTAAAGATAACTTACCTAAGATCACACAGATATTAAACAGTTTACACAAATAGAAAACAAATATCTACTAGAAAAGCATTATTAAAAGGGAATTGGTTATAGAGTAATAAGAAGAGGTCCTTGAGAGAGTAGTATGATACAGATTAGAATTAATGGGAATGGAAGGAGAAGAAAGCAAATGAAAAGGGATAAGTTTCTATAGCGAGAACCACAAACTGACATAAAAATAATGTTTAAAAATATAAAAAATAAAATAAGGAAGTGGTGCTGTGGCTCAAGTGGTAGAGCACTAGCCTTGAGCTGAAGAGCTTAGGGAAAACACCCAGGCCCAGAGTTCAAGCCCCACGACCAACTAAGTAACTAAATTAAAACAAAAACAAAACCGGTGCTAGTATATCACACCTGTAATCCTAGCTACTCCAGAGGCTGAGGTCTGAGGATTGCAGTTGGAAAACAATCAAAGTAGGAAAAGTCATGAGACTCTTATCTCCAATTAACCACCAGAAAACCAGGAAAAAACATAAAACAACAAAAAAAGACCCTCATGATTGGGGAAAAAAGTCAGAATCATCTATCTCATAGTTTTACCCTTATTGTGGGTGGTTAAGCCACTCTAACTTGTAGGACAGTGGGTAATGAAGAAAAAAAACCCCATCTATTCTGAGGAAGAAGGGCAATTTTAGAATGGAGGACCTTCACATAAAATATTAACAAAATTCTATTTTAGGAGTTAATTATTTTACAACTTAGTTGCTTAAAATAAAAATAACACAAATCTGAAAACTGTTATTTACTAATTATATATTTTAAAATTTATCCAACTCTGTTCACTCTTCAGAAGTAAACATGAAGAATCAAATGAACTGCTTTATAGAGCCAGTTGTCTGAATATTCATACATGGAATTAGTTTGTAAAGTCTATCCAGGTTTAGAACCAAAACAAACAAAAAAAGACAAGCACATATCAAATAGTAATATAAGAACATGAAAAAAATCCCTCTCCTCATAAACATGTGATATTTTGCAACAATAATGACATATTTGCACATAATCTAAAAGCCAATATGTAGATATATAGAAATAAATTACCAGACTTTTCATATTACCTATTGGAAAAAAAAGGTAGGAGTTATTTAAACAAATACACATACATGTAAACAGCTCCACGATGTTATATGTGCCAGTTATAGAAATACTGGCTTATATCTCAAAATAAATCATCATAGCAACTCAGACTTTTTATTGTATTATTATTATGGGTCTTTTTGGGTGCCAGGCCTGAAGCTTGAACTCAGGGTCTGGGTGCTGTCCCTGAGATTTCATGCTCAAGGTTAGCGCCCTACCACTTGAGCTACACCTCTACTTTTGGCTTTTTGGGAGTTAATTGGAGGTAAGAGTCGCACAGACTTTCTTATTTGGCCTGGCTTTGAAATGTGATCCTTAGATCTCACTTTCCTGAATAGCTAGGATTACAGGCATAAGCCACTGGTACCTGGCCCACTAACATTATTTTAATGAACCTACTGATTTGCTTGCAAAAGCTTTTACTGGAGGAGGGAAGCAAGTCACTACAGCATCTTATTTTTTTGTCATTTACATGGAAATATACAAGTTAAAGTTTTCAGACTGCAATAATACAACACAAATTGTAAATCAGGAAGATAGTAAGTACAGTACTGTGGATGAGTTCTGAATTCATACAGAACCTAAGTCTAGGTTCAAAGTTTGTCTTATGCCAGGTAGGTGGTGGCTAGTTTCTTAAACTTTGAGGCTCTGTCTCATAATTGATTAAATGTACAGTTTTAGTTATTGTAAAGATTATAGATTGTCTCTCTAAGGCACTTAGCATAGTATCTGGCATTTAAAAGTAATAACTACTAAAATGCCTCCTCTTCTTCTGATGGAACAGTATAAAAATGAGATTGGGCTGATAAATAGTAGAGTTCTTAGGTTATTCAGAATTAATGTGAAAAAAAAACTCAGTTCACCCATAGTATGCTATGTTTTTAGACATGACAGTAAAAGCTGAATGTTCTGCTTAAATGTTTTCTATATATACATATGTATACATACACTTATATATACATGTCAGTGCTGGATATCAAACCTTGTGAGTGCTATGCAAGCAATCTATCACTGAACTATACCTCCAAACTTTTCTTCCAGTATTTATTGAAATAGAATCTCTACAAAAAAGTCAGATTTAAAACTTTAACATTTCCCACTTATAACCAAAATTTCCTTATATGAAAAAAATAGTAAACAAACAGCCCCTTTGAAATATTTTTACTTGTAAGTTATGTCAAACTTTTTTTCTCCAACCTTCTTATTTTGCAGTATTGATAAAAAAAAAAAGTTTCTTTCTAGCCCAGTGCTGGTGAATCCCACTTACAATTATCCTGGTTATACAGGAGGCCAAGACCTGGAAGATTATAGTTCAAAATTAGCCTGGACAGAAAAGTATGAGAGACTCCGTATCTAGTAAACTAGCAAAAATGCTAACGAGGTAAGAGACATGGCTTAAGTGGTAGAGTAACAGCTGTGAATAAGAAAGCATAGAGAGAATTTTGAGGACCTGAGTTCAAGCTCCAGTAATAAAAACAAAAAAGAAAGGAACCCCAACAATTACAGAAAGTATACAAGCCATTCTCATTAATCATCAAATAATGTTTCTGACTGCACCATATATATGTCTTTTCTTTTTTTCCTTTTTGCCAGTTCTAGGGCTTGAACTCAGGCCTGGGTACTGTCCCTAAGCTTCCTTTGCTCAAGGCTAGCACCCTACTACTTGAATCACAGCTCCACTTCCAGCTTTTTTGGAATTTTAGTGGAGATAAGAGTCTCATAGACTTCCCTGCAGGGGCTGGGAATAACTGAATAACTGGGATTATAGGTATGGGCCACCAGTGCCTGGCTCATAGATATGTCTTAATAGTGGTGATTAACAAAGTACTTGATTCCTCTCATGATGCCCTTAAATTTTGAAGCTGAGATCTGAGAATCAAGGTTCAAAGCCAGCCCAAGCAGGAAAGTCCAGGAAACTCTGATCTAATTAACTACAAAAGAACAAGTGGAGCTGTGGCTTAAGCACAAAAGCTCAAGGATAGCAACCAGGTCCTGAGTTGAAGACCTAGGACTGGCACACAAAAAAAGAAAAGGACTAGATCTAGACAACAACATCCTAATTTATCACTGCACACATTCAAAATTAAATTTCCCATGCTGGGGAAGAATACAGGGCCTTGCACATGCTAGGCAAGCCCTGTACCACTGAGCAACATTTCTCTAGACCATCAGCAAGTAGTTCCTGTCAAGACAAAAGTTTGTGATTAATCTCTATAAGAGAAAACAATCAGTCTTACCTTTTGGATCATTGTGAGTCAGTAGTTGTATATCAAACTGTTTAGCAAACGCAGTCAAATCAGGTGGCATTACACAGCAGGAGGCAAGATTAACTTGGTTACTATTTGGTTTTACCTAGAAGAAAATAAAATCATGAAGTCTTTAAATAAAACAGAAAGTAGGATGTAATAAGCAATACAGGGCTTAATTTTAGCATATGTGAAAAATCACATTCTACAATGCTTCATATTTACATGAATATTTTCACTAACCTGTGCTTCTCAAATCTAGGTTAATATTTAGATAGCTCTAGGAGGAAGAAAAATACAATACAGTGCTACAAACATTTCCTGTTAGAACTGTTTAGCAATCTAGTACATCTGCCATGGAAATAAACATAATTTTAAGTGTGCTGGGCACACATGTTAAAGGTAAAGGATCAAATATGAGTAGGAACTTTTGGTACCAAAATGTAAAATATGGCTAATAATCACAGATTTTGAAAATGAATCAGGTAACTTACAGTAGTTGCACTGGTAGATTTTTAGATAAATCCTGGATCATCTAAGTCTATCCAGCTATTTCTTGCCATATCTACCTATTAAGTCAATGATGTTCTTGCCTGTAAGAAACTCTGAAAGCTTTATGAAGAAGGCTAAGGCTCACCAGAGGCAGTCATCTGATCTTCTAGCCTTCAGAATCATGAACTAGGAAGTGGTGCTGTGGCTCAAGCGGTAGAGCGCTCGCCTTGAGCTGAAGAGCACAGGGACAGCGCTCAAGCCCAGACCGACAAAAAAAAAAAAAAAAAACCAGAATCATGAACTAAACACCTTTCCTTTATGAACAAAACAAAGAAAAAAGAAAAGAAAAAAAAGGAGGCAATGGTGGTGGCTCAGAATGAAATAAAAGAAAGTACAAATAACTTCCCTGGTAATTTAATAGATTATTACAAGGCTAACTCTCTACCACTTTCAGCCACAGCACTGCTTCAACTTTTCCCATGGTTAATTGGAGATAAAGAGTCTCACAGATTTTCCTGTCTGGGCTGCCTTTGAACTAAGATCCTCAAATCTCAGCCTCCTGAATAGCTCAGATTACAGGCGAGAGCCAACAGTGCCAGGCTCATCACACATTTTCTAATGCCTTTTTTTTTTGTTTTGTTTTTTTGGGTAGAATTGGGATTTGAACTCAGGACCTCACACTGTGTACAGCTGGGCAATTGCCATACCTCCATCAATTATCATTTTTTTTTTCCTTTGGGTCCAGTCGTGGGCCTGAACTCTGGGCCTGGGCACTGTCCCTAAGCTTTTCAGCTCAAGGCTTGTGCTCTACCGCTTGAACCACAGCGCCACTTCCAGCTTTTTTTCTTTTTGCTTATGTGGTGCTGGGGAATCGAACCCAGGGCCTCATGCATGCAAGGCAAGCGCTCTACCACTGAGCCACCTTCCCAGTCCCAATTATCATTTTTTAAATGGGATTAATATTCAGCTCTATTAAAAACCTTCAACTACCCAAAACTTTCAGGCCTCACAGCGCCCATGTTTGGAAGAGATTCCCACAGTAGGCATATACTATGTGCATAAGGCTCAAAGTATGTAGCAAAGGTGGAAAGTCAAGTTCCTTCTCAGAGGGCTCAGAGTTTGGCCATCTTTTACCTGTGCCCACTGATACAGCTGCTCCAATTGTGTTTTGTCTAGGTCAGATGTTCCTATAGCAACAATTTTCTTGCTTTGAACTAAGTTTTCTAATTCTTCCCAGTAAGGCTGTAAATGCTCCAAGGAAAGATTAACTCCATCTTCAATAGGCGGTGAAGCAATGATCACAGAATCCAGCTGTGCAACTCCAAGGACTGAACAGGCTGGCAAGAGGATAAAGAAACAAAGGATGGATGTTTTTTATATAATAAAAACAAGTAGCACTAATGTCCACAGGTATTCCACTGAATACCATCCAGATCATTCACTTCTTTTCTAAATAACTAATTTTCTAAATTATGAAATAATTACTTCATAATTTGGAACATTTTCATCTTAAAAAAAAATAGCAAGAACCTACTTTCCCTGCTCTAGTTTTCCTGTTCTCGAGGCTGGCGCTCTAACATGAGTACAGATCCACTTCTGTCTTTTTGGTGATTAATAGGAGATAAGAGTCTCACAGGTTTTTCTGACTAAGCTGGCTTTGATCTCAGCCTCCTGAGTAGCTAGCATTACAGGAGTAAGACATGGGCACCCAGCTTACTTTTCTATTTTTAACCAAAATATGAACCTATATAATTCAATACAATTCAATAGACGGCTTAAGAAATGATGCTAGAACTTTAAAAGGTAAAACTAGAATCAGCTTATTCTCCTTTTTACCTAGAGCTGATCACAAGTTATACACAAATTTGAAGTTCACTATTAAGAAAAATGTTTTAATTTTTGCTTACCCATGTCAACTGCATTTCTAGTTGATGATGAGGAATTTGATCCCACAATGAACAGTTTTGCTGGGTAGCAAAGAAAACAAAACTGATTACTCCATTTGGGCACACATCTTACTACTATATATCAATATCAATATATAATATTAACATATAGATAATCCTGAATTATTTTTCCTTTCTTGATCACATAATTTTTTATTTTTTTAGGTCATGGGGCTTGAACTCAGGGCCTGGATGCTGTCTGTGAGCTTTTTCACTTATGGGTAGCGCTTTGCCACTTTGAGCCACAGCTCCATTTCTGGTTTACTGGTGGTGAACGAGATAAAAGTCTCACAGATTTTCCTGCCTGGGCTGACTTTGAACCATGATCCTTAGATCTCAGCCTCCTGAGTAGCTAGGATTACAGGTGGGAATCACTAGTGCCCAGCTTTCCTAATCATGTAATTTTACATTTTTTATTTTAAACATAATTTCCACTATAGTTTTAAAATCATATGGTAGCTGTCCAACAAATGTTTACTAATAAAATCAAGTATTAAGGGCTGGGAAGGTGGCTCAGTGGTAGAGCGCATGCCTTGCATGCCAGAGGCCCTGGGTTCGATTCCTCAGCACCACATAAGCAAAAAGAAAAAAGCCGGAAGTGGCGCTGTGGCTCAAGTGGTAGAGCGCTAGCCTTGAGCTGAAGAGCTGAGGGACAGCGCCCAGGCCCAGAGTTCAGGCCCCATGACTGGACCAAAAAAAAAAAAAATCAAGTATTAATTTTGCATTTATTACAAAGCAGCTCAGATAAAGAGCTTAATTACTTAAGTGTGTAATATGTCATATACATATATATGTGCATAAATGTGCACACACATATATAAAAAATTGCTTTTTTTGAGATGGGATTTCACTATGTAGCCCAGGCTAGCCTTGAACTGGAAATCCTCCAGCTTCAGCCTCTCTTGAGTACTAGAATTATAGATACTGCACCACCACATCCAGCTGAAATGTAATTTTTGTGAATTAACATTAATGGAGAAAATAAACCATAAAATAAACACAGTGCTCAATAAACTAAAATCTATACAAAAACGAAATTAAAAAGATGAGAGGAGGCCAGGTGCCGGTGGCTTACGCCTGTAATCCTAGCTATTCAGGAGGCTGAGGTCTGAGGATCGAGGTTCAAAGCCAGCCCGGGCAGGAAAGTCCGTGAGACTTCTATCTCCAATAAACCACTCAGAAAACTGGAAGTGATGCAGTGGCTCAATCGGTAGAGTGCTCTCCTTGAGCTGAAGAGCACAGGGACAGCGCCCAAGGCCAGAGTTCAAGCCCCACGACTGACAAAAAAAAATACATGAGAAGAAAATTGAAAAAAAAAAACTACAATATTACCTTTCTAATACAATCATTTTCAGATATTATATTCTAGGTTTTAGCAATAAGAAGCAGGTTATAACTTTTTTTTTCTATTTTTAAATTGGTTTATTGTTATGGTTGAATTATATTGAGCATCTACTTTAAAGAAGATGGTGGTCTGGTTCACCAGTTTAGTCTAAAACCCCCAAACCTCTGAAATCCCCATTACTTTGAATCTCAAGCATTTCAGATAAAGGAAACTCAATCTGTTGTTTTTTTTTTTAATCGGTTGTGGGGCTTGAACTCTGGGCTTGAGCGCTGTCCCTCAGCTCTTCAGCTCAAGGCTAGTGCTTTACCACTTGAGCTACAGTGCCACTTCCAGTTTTCCGATGGTTTATTGGAGGTAAAGAGTTTCACGGAGTTTCTTTCCTGCCCGGGCTGGCTTTGAACCTCGATCCTCAGATCTCAGCCTCCTGAGTAGCTAAGATTACAGGCGTGAGCCACCGGTGCCCAGCTTAAACTTAACTTTTATATTATATTCACTGTTCAAAAGTCTAAATTCATGGTACTGGTGTCACACCTGTAATCTTAGCTATTAGCTACTCAGGAGGCTGAGATGTGATGATTGAGATTTGAAGCCAGCCCAGGAAGGAAGTCCATGAGGCTCAAAGTGATAGAGTGCTAGCCTTGAGCAAAAGAGCTCAGGGACAGAGCTTAGGCCTTGAGTTTAAGTCCTAGCACTGGCAAAAAAAAAAAAAAAAATCTAAGTTTACTCAATAGATAAACAGGTGGGAATTGTAGGAGAAAGGAGAATGGGCAAACAGGATAATGTAGTACCTTTATTTTATTTAAAGTGATGAGATGAGCATTTAACTTATGTAGCAATGTTCTTGTGCATTCCTTATCATTGTTCCTTCTTTTCTCTCTCTCCTTTTTTTGCTGGTCATGGGCCTGAACTCTGGGTCTGTGTGCTGTCCATCAGCTCTTCAGCTCAAGGCTAGCACTCTACTACTTGAGCCACAGGGCCACTTCTGGCTTTTTCTGCTTATATAGTGCTGAGGAATTGAACCCAAGGCTTCAGATGTGCAAGGCAAGCACTCTACCACTGAGCCACCCTCCCATTTTCTTTTGGTGGGTCATGGGGCTTGAACTCAGGGCCTGAGCCCTTTTTTGCTCAAAGCTAGTGCCCTACCATTTTGAGTCGCAGTGCCACTTCGTTTTTGAGTGGTCGATTGAAGGTAAGAATCTCAGGGGGACTTTTCTACCTGGGCTGCTTCAAACTCCCATCTTCAGATCTCAGCCTCGTGAGTACCTATGATTACAGGTGTGAGCTACTGGTGCCCAGTTGTTCCTTTTCTACTGTTAGTCTTTTTTTTTGGGGGGGGGGTCCGGTTGTGGGGCCTGAACTCTGGGCCTGGGCACTGTCCCTCAGCTCTTCAGCTCAAGGCTAGCGCTCTACCACTTGAGCCACAGCGCCACTTCCAGCTTTTTTTCTTTTTTGCTTATGTGGTGCTGAGGAATCGAACCCAGGGCCTCAGGCATGCAAGGCAAACGCTCTACCACTGAGCCACCTTCCCAGCCCCTACTGTTAGTCTTTCTAAAATGCTTTCCCTTGAAAAACCAATATAGGTCCCTTATCAAATAGGTCAATATTTACTAATTTGATCCAATTATAACTCCCATAATCATATTATGAGACCCCACCACTATCCCTCAATTTATGAATTTATGCCATCAGAAACAGCTTCTCTGAAGGATGAAGACTGTTTAGGAAGAGGGGGAGCAAAACCCATCAAAAATCTCAAGCACTACAGTAACTAAGAACTACCTGACTCGTGAGAGATCTTAAGATGAATTTACATCATGATGGATTACAGAGGGAATATTCATTTTACTTTCTTACACAGACAGCAATGTGAAATTAACAAAAAGATACGGATTTTGGAGTTAGGCATGCCTGTGAGAATTAGTCAAGCAACTACCGGTAGCATGACCACTTTTTTTTTTTTTCTAACTAGCTGACAAGGCTGGCTTCAAATTCCTGGGTTCAGTATTCCTCTGTCTTAGACTTCTATGCAGTTGGGTCTATAGGTGTGTGCCAACACATCCAGCTATATGACAAATCTCAAGTTATTTATGTCACTTATGTTATAGGAGTAAGAGATCTACCTTGCAAGCCTTGATAATTATATGAGGAAATAATATCCATAAAATGACAAGTGCAGTGTCTGACATAAAGCAAGACACTAAATAGTTATTATTGGGATCAGAAAACAATGGTCCTGATCATTTTCTTCCTTCTTTTTGCACTATTCTTTTCTTTTTTTTGGCTGCACTGTCATTTTTTTTTATGTTGGTTGTGGGGCTTGAACTCTGGGCTTGGCCACTGTCCCTCAGCTCTTCAACTCAAGGCTAGTGCTCTACCACTTGAGCCACAGTGCCACTTCCGGTTTTCTGAGTGGTTTATTGGAGATAAAGAGTCTCATGGCTTTTCCTGACCGGGCTGGCTTTGAACCGAGATCCTTAGATCTCAGCCTTCTGAGTAGCTAGGATTACAGGTGTGAGCCACCCGCGCCTGCTTGTACTGTCGTTATTTTGACATCAGGGCTTTAGTCTTGCCAGGCAGATGCTCTACTTCTTGAGCCACACCTCCATCCTCCCCCCCCCCCCGCCCTTTTTGCTTTGGTTGTTATTGAGATAGAGTCATGTTTTTTTGCCCTGGCCAGCCTAGACTACAATCCACTTATTTACGCTTCCTTCTGTAGCTGGGGTGACTGACATTTGCAACCACACTCAACTTCTGCTGTTCTGATAGGAATTTTTTAGCTTGAGCTTGTGATCTTCCACACCTTCGCCTCCCACATAATTGGAATGTTAGGCAAATATCAATGTGCCATGCTTTTGATTGCCTAGGAAGGCCTTAAGTCACAATCCTCCTGTTTTCCACTTCCCTTTGAAGCTAGGATTACATGTATGAACCACTAGTGCCTCAGCCCTAACTCAGATGCATGCCCATCTCAATGATTAGCAATGGCCACAACAATAACAATGTTAATAATAGCTACCTAGCACTTACTTTGTGGTAATTACTATGTCAGCATGAGCTTCTCATGTTATTTCACTGAATCCATCCCATTTTACATATGAAGAAGTTAAGTTGCAGATGGATTAAATACTTGGTAGTGTGAAAATATACTAGCAGAATTACATATTCAGGAATTCCAGCTTTCAATGACTTTGCTAAGCTGACTACATGCTTAGGGCCATAACAGCACAGCTTTCACTTCTGTTACTGTAGTCACTGCATGTGGTTAAATGTAACTTGTTCTATTACTCCAGGCAACTTAAGTAGTGCTTACTAGTATCTCCCCAGGAAGGAAAGGCCTGTGTTTGCTTAAAGTAGAGTGCTCTCAAGTCTTTTTATTTCTTCTACCTTAACCTTTTCATTGTTGTAAATACACATAAATTATTTGAAGAACAGGAAGTTAAGTTTTACTTTGACTCCACTAAAGCAGTCAGCACTGACTTCCTATAAGTACCTTAAAGAGTCAACATTAGAGTTATGCTAAGAAGTGTTCATATTCCCACAAAGACCTGTTACCAGGAGCAAAGGAAGGCCTGTCCCACGTCTGACGACACTCACTACACTCCCACTGTACAAGAGAATGAATTTAAAGGCTGGACTTTACCAGAAACTTTCATTTCTTCTCTCTCATCGGGATTTATCTTTTCTATTGCATGAGATACAGTGCATTCCAAGACATCTGGAAACTCCTATAACAAACATAGGATACTTGTAATAAATACAAATTAATGTTTCTGATCACAAAATTTTCTATTGTCTATAAAGTGTTTGAAAAGAACTCATAAGACAAAAGGATTCTTTACTTATGTAAAACTGTGATATAAAGGTAAAATGCTATGTGTTCTTATTTTGTATGAAAAAATACCTTACTTTGATCAGGATGCCTGACTCACAAAAATTAAAAATAAACAAGAAGGTGAGGAGTCGTAAATATTAGCATAGTAATCTTACTTTTAAAAATTCATTTGCAGTAACATTAGAAACCTGAAAGTTTCTATATTAAGCATATGTACATATTTGTAGTACTGAGGATTTAAACTCAGGGCCTTACCTTTAGTAGGCAAACTCTCTACCACTGAGTCATGTTTCTAGCCCTATTTTGCGATGGTTATTTTTTCTTTCTGGTCTGAGACTGGGACTCTTAACTAGGTACCTGCTACTTTCATTCATGCCTCCAACTCCTGCACTGGTTATTCTGAAACGCCTTCCCCCCCCTCCCCCCACCAATGCTAGTACTGGAGCTTGAATTCAGGGCCTCATGACCTCACTTGACTTTTTCACTCAAGGCTGGCATTCTACCACTTGAGCCACACTTCACTTCCAGCTTTTTGCTGGCTAATTGGAGATAAGAGTATCACAGACTTTTTTGCACAGGCTGGCTTCAAACTGAGATCCTAGGTTCTCAGCCTCCTGCATAGCTAGGATTACGGGCATGAACCATCAGCACCCAGCTGGCTAAGTAAGGTCTCGATTTTTGTTGGGGCTCCAATCCACCTATATTATGCTTCCTATTGTAGCTAGGATAACAGGAACATACAATCATAGCTAGCTTCTTTGGTTGTGATGGAGTCTGTTGGACTTTTTTGCCTGGGCTGGCCTGCAACCTCAATCCTCTCATTCTCAGCCTTTCTATCCCATAGTTAGGGCATGAGACCTTGGCTTAATTATAAACTCAAAAAAATAGTTTTCATTGCTTTAGATTTTAATTTTTTTTTTGTCAGTCTTGGGTCTTGAACTCTGGGCCTGGGCGCTGTCCCTCAACTCCAGCTGAAGGCTAGTGTTCTACCACTTGAGCCACAAAACCACTTCCATGACTTGGATTTTAATGTCACTGACCTTTAACCTGTAAATGGATTTATGTCTTTAGTAGACTCTTTTAGGTTCACAACAATATTGAGATAAGGGATTTTTAATTTACCTCCTTTTTGAACTCATCCATTTCCTCCTATTATCAACATCCTCACCAGAGTGGTAATTTGTACTGATGAGTGTACACATATTCATCACAATCACCAAAGTCCAGTTTGTCCTAGAGTTTGCTCTTGATGTTATACGTTCTATTAGTGTGGACAAATATACAATGACGTACATTCACCATTACAGTATCACAGAGTAGTGACATGGCCATAAAATGCTGTGTCCCACCTGTTCATCCTTCCCTACCATCTACTCCTGAAACCAAGGTCCTTGTTACTTACTATCTCCATAGATTTACTTTCCTTAATGTTAAATAGTTGGAATATCACACTGTTGTCTTTTCAAATTTGACTTCTTTTTTTTTAATAATATGCATTTAAGGTTCCTTCATACTCATGGTTTGATAGCTAACTTCTGTCACTGAGTAATATTCTATTGTCGGCACACCATAGTTTTATCTATTAATATGTTGAGGGATACCTTGATTACTTCAATCTGCTACAAATACCTACATGCTGTTTTGTGGACAGAAATTTCAGATCCTCTGGACACATATCAAGAGCAACATTGCTGGGTCATATGACAAGAATCTATTTTGTTTTGTAATCAACAAACATGTTTAACCAAAATGTATCTTTACCTGAATGCAATAAAAAGGACCATTCTACTGCATTCTAGTGAATAATGTTATGAGGATGACCAATGTTAATATGTCAGTTAAAAACATAATAACATTTAATGAAGCAAACAGAAAATACTTTCCCATAGTTCATGAGCACATCACAATACTGGCATAAATCTGGAGTTCAGAGCTGATAAAATCATGCATATGTAGAGTGCATCCTGATTCAGACACAGATTAATCAGACATCGACAGCTATAAAGTTATAAACTTGTAGTGTACCCAACAAAACAAGTTTTTCTAGGACATTCAGTTTGTATTTGATAGGAACCTTTGGCTATGTTATCAGAGTAGTTTTAGATGGGTATTTTATATATTAACATTTCAGTCATATCTTAGCATTTAATGGAATATAGTTCCTTATTATTTCATCAGAAACTAACATTTAAAAATTATTTCTAGTGACTATATTTCCAGGGTGTAATATTCTACAAAGCAATCTACCAACCAAGCCATTGGATAATCATTCCTCTACTAGAACAAATGTCAACTGGAATGACACTGGAGTGAGGACACTAGGATGGGAACTGAGCAGAGGAATGCTAGTTTAAGAGTGAATTTTATGCTTTATACCCATTCCTACAGATCAGATTGCTAGCATGTCAAAAGAGCCACAAGGGATTTAAGGGCTAATTGCCTATTTGACTTCCCTCCCCAAACTGAAGATATTCACTTCCTGCTCACTTTACTTCTCTTTTATCCTGTATCATATCTGCATGCCCATTTCACTTACCCTGACCAAATCTGGGCTGATTTGGGAACTCCATTCATTCAAGGTCTTTTGGATACAATCTCGAAGCTGCAAAAAGAATGCATTTTTAAAAGGTTAACTAATGGCTCTTCTATCCTCATACTTGTACAATAAGGATATATTAGTTTATATTCTGTCTCATGTCAGCGTATTTTGAACTTACTTGGTAGTAATCCAAGTATATTCACTTAATTAGTGAAGACCTATACACATATGATAGAACAAAAATTTCCCAAAATATTTATGCTCATACATGCCAGGCACTCTAGTGTCTATTAATTAGAAAATATGCTGTTCCATGACTAAAGTGATTTATAAACATTAATTATCCAACTCTAGCAATTTTAAATCAATGCCTTAAAGATAACCCAGAGTCACGGGGTTTGCACTCTGAGCAATCAATGAAAAAAAGGAATGAGTAACTACATGCAGGCCCTGAACACAGTTGTTCTAGCCATAAACTTCTGAACTCATTATCTAAATGATGACTGCTTCTGACAAAAGTTAACTTAATACAGATAATACAAGGAACAAGTCATTTATCCATTTAAGAGTACAGAACCAGCTGGGCGTAGGTGGCTCACGCCTGTAATCCTAGCTACTCAGGAGGCTGAGATCTAAGGATCACAGCTCAAAGCCAGCCTGGGCAGGAACATCATGCCCATAAATCTCCAATTAAGCACCAGAAAGTTGGAAGTGGTTCTGTGGCTCAAGTGGTAGAGCACTAACCTTGAGCTAAAGAGCACAGAGACAGTGCCCAGGCCTAGAGTTTAAGATCCATGACCGACAAAAAAAAAAAAAGTACAGAATCACCTAGGTTAAGATTGACAAGCTGAAACAATAATTCCTGTGCTACCTACAATAATCCACTTGAATTCAAAATATAAGGCCTGTATCTTTTTGTTAGGTATATTTATAATCAAACTCATCAGTAGACTAAAAAATTGGTTGATAACACTCTCACACAGAATTACTCACCTAAAAATCAGAAAGTTTAATGTGTATATAAGCAATAAAGTTTTATTCCCTCAACACACACACACACATACACACACACACACACACACACATACACACACACACACACACACACACACACACACACACACCTATTGAAGTATGCAGGAAAAAGGGTAGAATTAGAGTTCAATATGTCAAGTGAAATGAGCCAGTCTCACAAAGGCTAGTATTCTCTATTTTCTCATATTTGCAAAAATTAGAGGGGAAGAGAATGGAACTAAGAGGGGGAATTATTTAGTGAATGTGAAAGGTAGCAGGACAAATTAGAAGTTAACAATTCTATCAAGGGTTCTCTGACTCAAATCTGAGATGATTCATTAACTATGTAAGACTTTCAGGGAAGATTTCCTCAATCCAAAATGAGAAAGGTGGCAGGGCAGGGCAAGGTGGCTCCTGTTCAATCAATATCCTTACTACTAAGGAGGCTGAGATCAGTGGGTTCTGGTTTGGAGTCAGCCCTAGGGCAGGAAAGTCTGAGATTCTTTTTATTTTTTAATTTTTTTTTTTTTGGGTCTGGTCGTGGGGCCTGAACTTTGGGCCTGGGTGCTGTCCCTCAGCTCTTCAGCTCAAGGCTAGCGCTCTATCACTTGAGCCACAGCGCCACTTCTGGCTTTTTTTCTTTTTGCTTATGTGGTGCTGAGGAATCAAACCCAGGGCCTCATGCATGCAAGGCAAGCACTCTACCACTGAGCCACCTTCCCAGCCCAAGACTGAGATTCTTATCTCCAATTAATCACCAAAAAGCTAGGAGAGCTGTGGCTCATGTGGTAGAGCACTAGCAAAAAAGCTCAAGGAGAGTACTCAGGCCCTGAGTTCAAGCACCAGGTACAGCACAAAATTAAAAAAATATATATTGGCCTGTTTTCTAAACACATACATTTGATTTATCTTGGATTCTGGAAAACTTACACAAAATTATTTCATTACTTGAGAGATTCACTACACTACTAAGTGATCTTCAATCTTGTAAATAGCATTTATACTGTCAGAACATTAACCTTGGCACTTGTTTCCCGTTTTTCTTCATTCTTAGAAACACACACTATCACTAAAGATAAATATCACCACAGTTTAGCCTATGGCTAGATCAATTTGAAAAATTCCACATGACCGGTCAAATACCCTCACAACAAAGAAATTTCCGTAAGTTTTAGATCCTCAGCACTGCCAAAATAAATAAAAAATTTAAGGCAAAGTACTAGAGGCTCATAGGACTCAGGTTCAAAGGCAGGCCCCTATAGATAAATCCACTCATATTCAACTATCCAGCAGAAAGCTGGAAGTGAATGCCAACAGCGAGTGTCTGGAAGCCTGGAGTTCAAAGTTTAAGACCTAATAATAAATAAATTCAATATTTAATAAGATTTTAACTAAACACAAAAGTTATCTTGGCAGAGGTCATAGAATTAAAAAAAAGGTAACTAGGCCTTTTAGAGAAATTAAACTCTATCCAATGAGTATATTTGTTTTAATTATGAGTGATTTTTTTTCTCAGTTTCTTAAATCTCTTTAAAAAAGCTGACACTTTTCAAATACATTTCTCAATTTGGAGCTCTGGTAGTTAGTCCTATACACAAAAATGAAACACATTTATCCTGTTCAAAAGGTGTCAGTTTCCAGACAACATCTTGCCACTTTTTGGGAGTATTACCCTCAGCTTTGTCTAGTTTCTCCAATTTTGTCCTATTCTTATGAAGCATCACAAACAAAACACCAAAAACTAAAAGTAGTCCTGTGAACAAAAATTTCAAACTGTGAATCAATTTTTTTCCCCCAAAATAAAATGGTCGGGGGCTGAGAAGGTCGCTCAGTGGTAGAGCGCTTGCCTTGCATGCATGAGGTCCTGTGTTCGATTCCTCAGCACCACATAAGCAAAAAGAAAAAAGCCAGAAGTGGCGCTGTGGCTCAAGTGGTAGAGCGCTAGCCTTGAGCTGAAGAGCTTAGAGACAGCCAGCGCCCAGGCCCAGAGTTCAGGCCCCACAACCAGACCCAAAAAAATAAAAAATTAAAAAAAAATAAATAAAATGGTCGGAAAAAATAGAAACACAGTATACAATGACTGACAGCTTTTGGTCAGATATTTGTTTTTTTTTTTAATGTATTGATATATACATGTAAGTATAAAACTATGAACTGCATGAGTAAAATGTATTTCTTACTGTTTTGTACTCAAAAACTCTATAAACTACATCAGAGTGTGTCATGGTGAGATAAGAGAAAATTTTACCCAGTCTCATCAAAATACATGCATAATGCTATGCTGAATAATCATGATTAGTGAGGGAAGAAACTAAGGGTGAGTGTACCAAATAAATACTTCCCTTTGGAAGAAAGTGGGATGGTTTAAGCAACACATACAAACCTAGCTGGAGCCTGAACACAGGACACGATTGGATTCTGGTACAGATTAAAGTTACTATCAAGAATTCTCATCTGGGACTGGGAAGGTGGCTCAGTGGTAGAGCGCTTGCCTTGCATGCCTGAGGCCCTGGGTTCGATTCCTCAGCACCACATAAGCAAAAAGAAAAAAGCAGGAAGTGGTGCTGTGGCTCAAGTGGTAGAGCACTAGTCTTGAGCTGAGGGACAGCGCCCAGGCCCAGAGTTCAGGCCCCACAATCGGACCCCCCCCCCAAAAAAAAGAATTCTCATCTGAACAGTGCTGGCTCCCACCTTTTTAGAGTAGAAAGTTTCTCATTACAGCTGGTAACTTAGATTATGACAAAGTTTAGGCAATTTGTTTTCTAAGAACTGGAGGCCTAGCTTAAGTGATAGAGTGTCAGCCAGGGTTCAAACCCCAGTACTTTAAAAAGAAAAAAGAAATGTATTCTTTCATCAAGATTTGTTTGTATTTCTCACAAACTAGGTGACTGGGAGATAAATAGCTGTATGTTGAGTGTCTTCAAGTGCTATCTTTAAAGCTATGCAGACACAGGCAGAGACCATAACTTTCACATAGCTCCTGTATTTAAAGGCTTATTATTTTTATAATTATTTTTATAGTCTGTTTCCTTCTCTCTTGTACCATCACACCCCACTTATTTTCAGTTCACACATAACAACTGGTCACATTCACTGGCATTAAAAAAAAAAAGTTGGTCGTAAGGCTTGAACTCAGGCCTAAGCCCTGTCCTTGGCTCTAGGCTAGCACTCTATCACTTTGACCCAAAGCTCAACTTCCGGTTTTTTGAATAGTTAATTGGAGACGAATTTTCCAGACTTTCTGCCCAGACTGGCTTCGAACCCTGATCCTCAGACCTCAGCCTCCTGAGTAGCTAGAATTTAGAGGCATGAGCCACCGACAAAACCTGGCATGCATCATTTCTCTTTCTTTTCTTTTTTAAAGTGCTGAAATTGTTCCACATTACAAATGTGCCTTAGACATTGTAAGTGGCAGGTTAATGCTAACTACTGGCTCAGGATTGGAAAGCAACCAATGTCACAATCCTATAATTCCAGATTAATCTCTGCCCGTTGCACCTAGGCAAAAAGAAAAAGAGAAAAAGAAGAAAAAAGAGGAAGATTAATTTCTAGTAAGAAAAAAAAGCATCCTCTCTATATACCAAAGCCAGTCGCTTCGCAGCATCGGAGCGACCAATGTCAACACTGTACACGTCCACGCCGTAAGGATACGCGGTGGCCCAGCACGCGCTGACCTCGGCGGGGCTCCTTCACCGGGAGGAGCGGGGCCAGGGGCCCGGAGGTGGGGGGGACCCCCGGGCGGGGCTCGCCTGCCTGCCTCCCTCCCTATGGGTCGGAGACGGGGTGCAGCTCCGCGTCCTGGGGTGCAGCCCCGCGTCCTGGGGTGCAGAGCACCCTCCAGGTTCGTCCTCCCGAG